CATAGAAACAGTTAATGTAAACAACTCCAGGATATTATTTTTTGCATTTAATCAAGAATATAGCTTAAGCCTATATTTATTCATTTGTTTTAATACCCATTCTAATTGCATAATTTACTGACAGGACACGATGTTCCCCATTAAGTTGGAGCTATAAAATCTTGACGAGTGATTAAGGATTGGATAATCCGTTCAAGAAATAATCAATTTCCCGCAGTCAATAGTTACTGCGAGGGGTGTATAAGTACACCAAATGTCCATAAGGAATGACACTTGTATTCCTATATTTCATATTGTTCATAACTATTATACCCTGGTCATAATTATAACATAATTAATACAAAACTAATGAATAAATATAGGCTTAAGCTATATTCTTGATTAAATGCAAAAAATAATATCCTGGAGTTGTTTACATTAACTGTTTCTATGCGTATAAAGTTTTCAATAACAATTGAATGCTAAATTAATTTTAAATTATACTCTAAATATTCTGACCCAGGCATACATTTATTGAATTAAAATTTTTACTTTATTAGCTCACCCAAGTACTTGTGATGAATGTCACAAAGTTAGTAAATATTTGGTTAACAACTAACCGATACTAAAATGGACCAGATTAACAACGATTCCCCATTAAGATGTAACAATTTCAAACTACAATTTTAATTTAGAAATTATTTAAAATGAAATGAAAGTGCATGAAAGGGGAGAGCAAGATAGGGGTTAGGGTTTCCAAACCTCCAGGTTTGGCCTGGATTTTCCAGGAATCGAGGTCCGACTCCAGGACCAGTTTGAGCTCTGCCCTGGAGGTAAGGAACTCCAGGAAATCATTTTAGAAAAAATCAATGTTATATATTATAAATTCTGGCAACGATAGATAAGATGTAATGTCTAATTGTGTTACAGATTAAAATAAAGTATCTGGTTTTAAAGCTTTTAATTAAATCCTGGAGTTTATATACAATATAAATACTGTATATTTTGGTTAGAAAATTTAGATTAATTGTATTAATATAACAATAAACATTAAAATTTAAAAATTGTTTTAGTATTCGCGAAATATTAACAAATGCATTTAGTATAAACATTAGTTTAGTTTAAACTAATAATAATAATAATAATGATTTTGATCCAATGTTTATATCCTATTAAATGTCTCAAATATATGTGTGAATTCAAATAAAGGGGTGACTCTAAAAAACCACAAACACTGTGTTTACCGCAATGGCCTTTCATTGATACTCTGTATTAATAAAACATTACAACAAAAAATGTTTTTATTTATCAAATATATATCTATCAATATAACTTTTAAATTAAAACTTAGTTATTAAACTTAAAAATTAAATATTAAAATTATTAAGACACTAATATTAAATAAAAATACTTTTCCATGTATTATTTATATAAAGATTTTATTCATTNATTAGTGATGAGCCGACCACTGGTTTGGACTCATTTATGGCCAAAAGTATAGTACAAGTGCTGAAGACTATGGCATCGGAGGGACGGACTGTCATCTGTACTATACATCAGCCCTCGTCTCCAGTCTTTGAACTCTTCGACAGTCTATTACTTATGGCCGACGGAAGGGTAGCTTTCATGGGGTCCATCGGTACTCATATTTTATATATTTTATTATAAATGTATAATAATTTCATTGCATTTACAGGTGAAGCAAAAGATTTCTTTTCATCGCAAGGATTAGTAATATTGATATTATAATTATATTTATTTAATTAAAAATAAAATTAATATTTACTCAATAGGTTTGCCCAAAAACCTACAGTCCATCGGATTATTATTTACGGGAATTGGGTTTGTTTTACTCATATGTCTAATAAATATCAATCACTTTATATCATTTATCCAAAATAGCAATAATGGATAGTAATTATGCGCAAACTAAAAGCAAAGTCAATGTAATATTTGAATATGCATTTAACCAGTTATTTATATTTATATTTAAATTGCCTTAATATTTAGGAAATATGTGATAATTATCTCGAATGGAGTGCAAGCACAATTAAAACTCAATATAACGTTCATAATATGTGTGCATCAAACTTGGCAACACTGGGGTCGGGCTATAGGGCCGGTTATTGGCGACAACTGATTACTGTATTATGGCGATCGTATATTGTTTTAATACGAAATCCCAATTTAATACAAACCCGGCTCACTATAATGATGGTTACGATTTAAAAATTTATATATTAATACAATGACAATAATTTGTACAAAATTTTCAATTTATTTGTCACACAGTGTACGACAGTATTATTTGGGGTACTCTATTACGGACAGGGATACGACTACTCCAACGTCGATAATATCAAAGGGGCTCTCAATATGATATTAACGAGAACTTCATTGACTCAGTCAATGCTCGCACTCACTGTAAGCACCAGTATTTCATTTTAAAAACAATTGCATACTAACAAGTACATTTTTGACAATTTGGATTTTTGCTTTTAAATTGGAAAATATTGTTTTGTATGTGCACGATATTACATTGTTAGTTTCTACATAGATTTTTGTATTATAATTATAAATGTGTCATATTGTATTTAAATAAACATATTTTCTATTATATAATAGACATTAATAGGAGAGGAAGCCTTACTTTGTAGGGAACACCACAACCGTACGTACGCTTTGATCCCATATATATTGGCGAACTTTATTACCCAGGTAATGTTTAAGTATAATATTTATTTATTATGGCTAATTTAATTTATTATCAATACTGTATTATATAATTAGTTTTACAGAATGTCAACATAACATTATTAATAAATGATGCATGCTTGCATAATATAACTATATAACAAATATTGCATAAATAACTTATGAGATTGCAAATAACTTGAACAGTATTTCTACATTTCTTAACTGTATATGAGAGACGATTTATTAAAAAGGATACATTGAAACACACATGCAAAGTATACAGAGTTTAAAATCTTATCTTGCTCACACATTACAAATATATTACTTTGAATGACTAAACTGCGATTGAAAAGCTTTTGCTTATAATTACTAAGCACTCAATGAATTTTCATTGTACCCTTTTTAATAAATCGTTATTCATATTTCATATGTTTCTATAATATATGCTTTATTCGTAAGCTATGAAAACTCTTACGATTAATAAAAAAATATAGAAAGACTTGTTATGTTATATTCATTGTTATACATGTATTATGATACTATTGAAGGGTAGGGAATAATCGGTGGGTTAGGTGCCAAAAGGTGGACACTATTTAATAACTTTTCCAAATGCTTTTTATCAATAATTATAATTCAAAACTCAATACAAAATACATTGTCACACAGTATGGCAGTACAAACACTAGTGTCCCATAGTTGGCAAAAGTTATACAATAAATAGTTATTGTGGTTGTATTCAAGATGTTTCTACAAAACATAATGTTAACCAAATGTATGCAACAATTATGAGAAATAGTGAAATGCAAAACATACATATCCTAATACACTGTTAACACAAATAACTAAAGAATTTAACCTTGCATATATTTAGAATTTTATGAATTGATAATCAAATGGTATTCCTATTAAATAATCATAAAAACTTTATTCTACAATATTAACATTATATATTTACTAAACAGTTGGCTATCTATTCAATACTGACTATTATCTTTGTAACGATTTTGTATTTCATCGTTGGTTTATATCTGAGTGCGCAAGCATTTTTCATTTACCTTGGTGTTATTATGCTGGCCACAATTTGTGCCTGGAGTTTAGGTAACAAATTATTATTAATATAAATATCTGTATAATTTAGAAAGCCAAATTCTACTTGAACAATATTGACTAATCTTGATTAATATTTATAGATAGGTATATAAGGTTAAGTATAATATTGTATAGACATACGGTAAATATTATTAAGTTTATAAATTAACATTTAGCTTGATTATTTATATTATAAGATTTAATTATATTATACAATTTTTTAGAAAACATAATTTTAAATGCATTATGTAAATTAAATTGTTTAAATAATAATTATTAATTGTTTATTGTAATTAAAATAAATATAGGATTTTTAATCTCTACATTATGTCCGGACATTATGACAGCCAATGCAATAATGGCATCACTTTTGATGACAATGAGTGTATTGGGAGGATATTTTGTCAATGTCAGGTAATTTATTTAATATTATACCGTTAATTTGGCAATAAATGCTATTTACTGATCAATTATCTATATTTAGCACACTACCAGGGTGGTTAGATTGGTTGCAGTACTTGTCATTTCCATATTACGGATACCAATCATTGGTTGTAAACGAGTGGCGAAATGTGGGAAACATGTCGTCCGACACCACAAACACCACTCAATCGACGACTACTTATACCTCTGGAGTAGAAGTCATTGAATCCATGGGTTTC